CCCTACCGATGTCCCTACCGATGTCCCTACCGATGTCCCTACCGATGTCCCTACCGATGTCCCTACCGATGTCCCTACCGATGTCCCTACCGATGCTGTTGAAAAATTAGAGCATACCAAGGATACAAATGGAGTGCTGTCCGCAAAACAACCCAGACGCCAGGTCGAACTACGAGTCTCTTCAAAACACCTATCACTCGCATCCGAGGTGTTCAGAAATTCCAGAGAGAGTCGTTCAAACGGCGACGAATCAATAATGACTATCTCTTTCCCATGTGATGATCTTGATGCAATGCGAATTCTACTCAATATAATCCATGGGCTGACAAGGAGAGTCCCACGGCAAGTGGAGGTAAAGTTGTTTGCGCAGGTCGTCATTCTGATAGACAAATACGAGTTTCATGAGGTGGCTGAAGTCTTCACGGACATGTGGTTCGATTCCCTTCGAGCAAGCATTTTGCAAGATCATCCTCAAGATATGGCTTGCTTGATCTCTATCTGCTGGGTGCTCAAGAAGTCTTCTGAGTACCGCTCCTTGACTAAGAAAGCCATAATAGAGATTACCGGACTCGAAAACGTGGGTGTGCGGATTCCCCAATGGATTGATGGTAAGATAATCCACAGATTGATCTGATCGTATTCCTAAGTTGAATAGGAGAGATCCAATCTCGTCGGCAAGCTATATTGGGGAAACTTCTTATGACGTTCTCGAAACTCCTTGATCGTTACCACGGTTCGCAGCGATTGTGCCATCAACAGACAAACTGTGATCCTCTCGCCCTCGGCAAGCTTATCAGATGCTTGCAGTTTCTTGAGATCTACCCAATTCCAGAACCTTCTGCGATAAAGTCATCACTTCAATATCTTTTCTTCACGATAGACTCAACAGACTTCTCACCGTTCTGCGCGGAGATCGCCAAGAAAAGCCGAAGCAAGTCAGGTTATTCGGACACGGATGAGGTCTGCATTCGCATGGAGACAGAATTGAGGGACTCACTCTCACGAATTCAGTCAGGGATTGGAGGAATGGAACTACCTGGAGTGTAGAAGGACTATATGGGATTATAAGGTGACGGCCAATCATGGTTTTCAGGATTCAGCCATACAAGCTACGCAGCTACCTTGGATCATCGCACTTCTTAGTACTGCTACAGATGAACGGGTACAGTTCTGGATATTCACCTCTCCCATACATGTTATCAGATCTGTATTTGAGATTGCTATCCGTATACCGGGTGATTAAGGATGAGCGAAAGCAAAACATTTGGAGCTCGCTTCGTACGAGACAAATAACAGAAAACATCACCTTAACAGGAATGGAATTTAATCAGGCTTATTTGCGTAGCTCTGATGTGTGCATGTACTAAATATAGTGCGCATCATATAAAAGAAAACCGACTAGGAACAGACTTGATAGGCACTCGCTCGGTCGAGCCCTTGCTATGACAGTGGGTGCGTGTCTTGCGAGCCTCCCAACAGTAACGTCATTCCATATTTCGCTCGTAGATAGAATTATAGTTCTCCTACAACATTTCACGATCACTATCATCATCACCACAATCACCAAGATAATCATATCGATCAGGTTCAAGAAATCTAGAGTTTCTCCGGTGGTCATGATCTGCAAGCGGTGAGAAGGATGTTTCCCACTCTAGTGGAGGAAACTTACCATCTTTCACCTGTGATGGATTTCTCCTGTCAACAATGGCGGTTGGGGGAATGTGATGCAGACACAAATATGCACCCTGAACATGCTGTTGGGCTTTTGCGGGAATGGTCAAACTCAGCATATTCACTAGGCTGCTCAATTTGAACAAGGAAGTCGTTTCTACCAGAGCGATACTGTCGATTGTGTACAACGCCCAGTCATCTCGAGAACAGCTCATCCCTGTCCAGGGCGTCTTGAGGTCGCAGCTCTGAGCCCTTGTTCACCTCATCTTATAGATATTCTGGCACACCGTCTATCGACGCAATCGCAAGTGAGAAGGAGTCGCACGGGTTCAGTGCCAGCAGAAATTTTGAGTCAACAGCTCGATGAACAGCAGCCGGAATTTCTGCCATGAGATAACGTGAACATCCGGAAAGATTCGCATGTCCAACCGAAGTTTCAGTGAAAGTGTACTCCGTATACTCCTCACGAGTCTTCGAGCTCGATCTGAGCTGGATTTCTGGGTATGCGATGGCTGGGACGCAGCGAGGATATCCGGCTGGTGATTAGATCGTCTAGGTGGGGGCCGGAAGTTATACTGACACCTACAAGGCCCGATCCCTCCCCGCGATCCGTCGCTTCAGGAGGCACTGACTTTCGTACTCCTGCCAGCACCGGCGCAGGCTGCGAAAGCAGTAAATTAGCCCTCGTATGCAGAACGCCACCACGGATTGGACCAATTTAAGCGCCTGAAATGTCAGACCGGCGAATGAACAGCGATGAATCTAATTGCCAATGGAGCGCTCTCGGTCTCTTTAACTTCAGCCTATCTGTGACGGCAGCAGCACCGCCTGCGCAGGGGTGATGACTTCAGCCTGACCGCCCTGCGCAACCATTATCATAGATCTTCTGGCAACTTGAACACCATTTCGATCCCAGCCATCATTGCTCTGGCGATGCTGAAAACCGTTGCCCAGAAGTCATCATAATCGAAACTGTCTTTTGAGTATCGCTGGATCGGCCATGGCGACCAAGAGAGTACGCCTGCTCGCCCTGGATGGCGGCGGGGTGCGCGGCCTCTCGTCATTGATGATCCTCGAACAGCTGATGCAGACCATCGACCCGGAACACCCTCCCAAACCCTGCGAGTATTTCGACATGATTGGGGGCACCAGTACTGGCGGGTTAGTATGCAGACAATATAAGCGTGATATAGTCAGTCACTGACCGATCAGGCTGATCGCGATCATGCTGGGTCGCCTAGAGATGACGATCGACGAATGCATCGACGCCTACCTCCTCCTCTCCGACAAGATCTTCCAGAAGAAGGCGCATCGAGTGACGATTCAGGGCAAGATCCAAGGACGGTTCGATGCGAAGAAGCTCGAAGAGGTGATTAAAGAGGTGGTGACAAAGAAGAAGCTACCCGCAGATACCTTGTTAAAGAGCGCTGGAGAAGCGACATGCAAAGTGTGGGTCGAAAGGGAGATCAATGGAAGGAGTGCGCTGCTGACGATGGTGCAGCTTTGTGTGTGCGACGAGCAAAGAGACGGGCGAGACGGTATGCTTGACGAGCTACCAGACCCCGCACGGCAACAATGACCTCCTGAACACGGCCACGATCTGGGAGGCGTGTCGAGCAACGTCGGCGGCGTCGTCCTTTTTCGATCCTATCGCCATCGGACGCTACGACGAAGAGTTCGTGGACGGCGGGACCGGGGCGAACAATCCGGTGTGGGAAGTGTGGAATCAGGCGCAGGCGATATACGGACCTAACCCGCTAGAAGATCACCTGGACTGTTTAGTCTCGATTGGCACGGGTGTGCCGTCTCTGACACCCTTCCGCGACGATGTCCTGCACATCCACGAGACGCTGATTGCGCTGGCCACGGAGACGGAGCAGACGGCGGAGCGATTTCGGCGCAGTAAAGCGCACCTAGACGATTCCGGTCACTACTACCGATTCAATGTGGCACGAGGGCTCGAGGAGGTTGGATTAGAAGAGTCGAAGAAGAAGAAAGAGATCGCGGCGGCCACGCGACGGTATGTGGCGTCGCAGGAGGTGTTGAAGCAAATGCAAGCGTGTGCGGATCGAGTGTCCAGGAAGCAATGTTAGGCCTGTCCTGCTTTATAATCTCAATTTCTTAGTGTTATAGCTGATACGTTGTGTGTATAGTCTCATCGAAGTACCATATTCCCTTCAGTCTTCGGGGTGTGCCGATGCTCGACAAGTTTGCCGACCGTCCCGCAGAGCTGGCCGAGCTGAGTCAATCCCTCCTACCACAGCGTGGCCTTCGTCGTCGTCGCATTTTCGTGCTGAGCGGGATGGGGGGAATAGGCAAGACACAATTGGCGGCGCAGTTTGCACGGCGACACCACGAGCGATACAGCGCGGTGTTCTGGCTCGACGGCAGCTCGGAAGACAGCCTGAAGCAAAGCATCGCTTTGGCGGCCACGCGCGTCCCGGCCGGACAGATTCCAGAGGCAACAAGAACGGCTGCAACAAGTAAAGGTATAGATCTAGAGGTTGTCGTCGAGTGCGTTCTCAACTGGTTGAGTCTCCCGGATAACGACAGCTGGCTGGTGGTGCTGGACAACGTGGACCGCGAGTACCGCCCAAAATCTCCTCAACCAGGCTCGTATGACGTCGGGCGCTACTTTCCCGAAGCGGATCACGGCTCCATCTTGGTGACGACTCGACTGGGCGAGCTAGAACAACTAGGTACGGCGGGCAAGAAGCTGCAGAAGGTGGATAACGGTCTGGCCGAGGCGATCTTCCGACAGTGGTATACGGGCGAGTTCGGTATGACCATCATTCCTCCTCACCAGCCCTTCCATCAATCCTTCTAATGGAGAAATACAGATGTGGACCATGGAAGCCGACTGTTGAAGCTGCTAGACGGCCTCCCCTTGGCTCTGACTCAGGCAGCGGCGTACATGCAGCAGACGGGGATCAGTTTCGCACAGTACATCAACCTCTACAACACCCAGTGGAAAGATCTGATGGAATCTCACGAGGGGGATGGTATCCCGCTGCGTGTATATCATCGCAGTATCTGGACGACGTGGACGATCTCGTATGAGGTAATACGCGCGAAGAACGAAGCCGCCGCCGATCTCCTTCTACTGTGGGCGTTCCTTAATAATCGCGACTTGTGGTACGGGCTCTTCAAAGGGGTGGAAGAGAGGTCAATTCTGGCTGGTCAGGATCACCATACCTCGCTTCGCGAGATCTGTTGCAGTGAGGTGGCCTTTAATCGGGCGATCGGCCTTCTTATCAATTACTGCTTGGTGGAGAGTATGGAAAGTCTGGCCGGGTACACTGTTCATCCGGTGGTGCATCAGTGGGCTCGGCACGTGCAGGCTAACGAACAACGGCTGGACTTTGCACGTATTGCGGTGACGATGGTCGGATTGGCTGTTCCTTCAGTTTCAGAACGAGACTTTTGGATTGTGCAAACTCGATTGTTGGGACATGCCGAGTGTTGCTTTCGATGGGTCACTAACGATTGGTACCAGTTAGGGAAATGGGAAGACGATGGCAACCAGGAGAGAACCATATATGGCGAGACGGTCAATGATGTTCATAATGCTTTCCTAGGGCTTGGCAACCTCTACGCTGATCAAGGGAAGCTGGCGGAGGCAGAGACGATGTACCAGCGGGCACTACAAGGCTACGAGAAGGCGTTCGGCAAGGAACACACCTCGACGCTCACCACGGTCAACAATCTGGGCAACCTCTACGCTGATCAAGGGAAGCTGGCGGAGGCAGAGACGATGTACCAGCAGGCACTACAAGGCTACGAGAAGGCGTTCGG